CTTTTTAGCACCCAAAACATTTTAAGTTTTAAAACTGCAATGTGACAGCAGTATTTGACGATTCTATTTGACTCTCAGATATGAAGTACACCCCACTAATGTACTACCCCACTAATGTACTATTTAGCAGCAAAATAAAAATTACTTTTTAAAACTCTGATGTAAACGCTGTATTTGTAGCTTCTATGTGACTCTCAGATATGAAGTACACCCTACCCCACTAATGTACTAGTTTGCAGAATTATTTCCTAAGCTGTCCCTATCAGCGGCAGCATCCTCTCCCTACACTAATAAGACCGCATGTGCGTGCGGCGCTATGCGACTCCAGCTTATACATAGAGGCTGGGTCACAAGCTGCACTGGCCAATCACAGCCATGCCATTAGTAGGCATGGCTGTGATGTCTTCTAAGGGCACACGAGTCAAACGCTTGTTGATTGGCTGCCCTGCAGCCTTTGAAAACGCGCCATTAAATCGCCGAACACCGAACTCCAACCCGAACATACAGTGATATGTTAGGGTCCGGGGTCCAAAAAACCTAATGTTCGTTACAAACCCGAACTTTTCAGTTCAGGTTCGCTCAACTCTAGTAGCCACGGTTTCAATCTTGGCTGTCTTTGGCCATTGCTTCACAAACCTTACCCAGTGTCCCAGGTACTGTACTTCAGCCATACCGATTTCACACTTGTCTGGCTTTAAGGTTAAGCCGGCTTCCTTAATCTTGTCCAGAATCATCCCTACATGGGCTAAATGAACCACTATGATTGCAAACAAAGAAGGGATCTGCACTCATCACCTGTAGACCTCAGTGCACTGTACCTAGGGCTGGCAAACCCCTAATCCACATAGTGAGAACAAAGTAGTCCAGGCACTCAAGGTCTTCATAAATCAGCAGATTTATTGGTAAAACATGCCGAATACAGCAACGTTTCAATCCATGCTTGATAAAGATCCCATAAGGGATCTAATTGTTGCTGTATTGCCCTAGACAAGGAAGCTATCCCCAAGTCGGCTTTTGTTTCCCCCTGTTCAACTTATACCAGTTTTGGTTTATGTCGTTCGGAATGAAAATTGCCCTGACTACCTTCCAAAGGATGGTGTATACACTATGCGTGTGCATATCTAGATGACATAGTGGCGTAGAGTGAGAACAAAGTAGTCCAGGCACTCAAGGTTTTCAGAAATCAGCAGATTGATAAAGATCCCATAAGGGCTTGAAACATTGCTGCATTCTTCATTTCGAACGGCATTAACCAAAATTGGTATAAGTCGAATGGGGTGACAAAAGCCGACTTGGGAATATCTTTCCTTAGCTATCTTTGTCTAGGGAAATCTGCCAGAAACCCTTACAGAGGTCAATAGTGGTCTGTATCCCTTGACCTCGGCTATTCCTGACTATTCTTTGATACGTTAGTCCGGCCATTCCAAGGTCTGGTATACGTTACCTATCAGTCAGCTGTGTTACACAATTCTACGTGCTGGATCATTCTGTAATCATGACAATTAGTTAGAGCCACTGCTTTTGGGTATCTCGTAGCATAGTCTACTACAGTAAGAATGTATTTCTTACCAGAGTGACTAGGCTGAACTAGGGGGCCTTTTATGTCTACTCTACTCTACTAAAGGGTTCCTCTATAATCGGTATTAGATAAGTGTGATTTGTTTCATTCTGAATGTACATTCTTATGAATTTCATGCCATTCGGATGCTTACGAATGTCTGAAGTGTAGAAGGTCGTTAGTTCGGAAGTGCTGAAGCTCCAAAGTGCCAAAGCTTCGAAGTGCCGATGTGATTTGGATTTCTGAAAAGTGGCAAAACAAGAGAGAGGGAGGGAAAATTATGAATGATGACAAGAATCTTGACCAATAAGCTAATTCCTTTTGTGCAATGACATAATTTCCTGTACGAGGATATATAAAATAGACATGTGCAATTTGTTTTGTTCCGAATGTACATTAGTAAGAATTTCATGCCATTGAGACATTCGGATGCTTACGAATGTCCGAAGTGCCGATGTTCCGAATCACCGAAGTTCCGTAGTGACGATGTACAGCCGTACCGAAGTGCTGAACCGAACCAAATGCCATTAGTCCGAAATGCCAAAGCAATTTTTTTTACTTACACGAATTTCAGAACCGAACCAAATTTTTTGTCCATGCACATCCCTAATCAGCATAGACAGTAGTATTGCCTTAGGATGATCAGCACTTTTCCCAACTCTCTGACAAATGTCACAAGTTGGCAGTACTGTCGGATATCCCAGGCCAGAAGAAATTCTTAGTTACCTCATGAGACATTGAGCGTATACCAAGGTGTCCAGCAAAAGGTACATCGTGCCCCACTTTCAGGAGCTCCAGTCAATATTTCCTGGGTACTACCAACTGGCACTTCTGAATGGAACCCATTCCTCTCGTAAGGGGATGTGGGACCCTAACCCAGTCTTTTTTTGTCCAGATGCAACAGGTTGAAAAACTGCTCAAAAAGTGACAAATGTAATATGTCAGAGAGAGAAGTGACTTGACACCTGTTGATCCAGTGTGATGCAGCATGGTGCATCCGACAAGCCCAGTCTGTGTAAGAGTCTTTGTCACTTTTCTTCAAGTCTCTAAACTTTCAGCGGTATGCCTCCTGGGTGATCAGGTACTGAGCTAGCAGGGCTTCTTTTACTCTCTCATAGCTGTGGATCTCATTGTTCAGGATGGCTCGGAATGCTTCGGCAGCCTTGGAGGACAGTTTCCCTGCCAGGATGGTGTGACAAATGCTCTTTTCCTTGGACAAAAATAGAGGAATCCCTTGAATCAAGGGAGTCCTAAGATGAAGCTCTAGTAACACAGAGATATCCCTATGTAGAGAAATACTAGAACGGGTAGAGAAACAGTTACTAGGTACAATAGGTAAGGGGGTGAGGTAGTAGGTAGTGACCAAACGCCACTGAGGTAATGATTTAACAGGCCGCACACATGGTCCATGCCCAAAAGAGTTCCAGGGTATTTGGTGCTTTGGGGCTCCTGAGTACACAATTATTGGAATTCCTTCTGGCTTTCAGGAAGTGATTGTTCCTCTCCCTATCAGGTACATTTTTTCCAAAAAGCTCTCTCCTGACACATTGGGAAAGGGATCATTACTGTATGTAAAAAGCACCTGGAGCCTTATAACAGATTTGAGCCTTATAACAGGTGAATACTGTTCACAGTGTTTTAAGCACGAACAACAACGAGGGTTTGGATGAATTTGGGAGGCAAAGGCACTGAACTAGGGGAGTCGGGAATATAACTGCTGGGGTGGCTGGGCAAGTCCACTCCCGAACGGGGTGTCGGGTACAGTTTGTATTCTAAAATGTCATAGTGGCAACAAAGTCTGTCACAAGGATAATGGTGCAAAATTTTATTTTGAATTCTTACTTTTAACTTTTTTTTTTAAAATTCTTTATTTTTGCTTAGTTCACATGTATACAATAATCACATGAGTGAGCAGATAATAAGACATACGCAGAAAAAAATAGGGAGCAATTTTGCATCTTATACAAATCTTATACAAGAGGACTTTTAGAATGAGGGTTTTATAAGTATAAACACAGTAAGGTAAGATGAAATTAGCAGTCATCTAGCATTCCTCTCAGGGCTAACATAAGTTACATGCAACAGATATCCAGCACCCCTGAGAGGAAGTACCCCCCCATCTGGTAGTGGGTTGCCAATGTATAGTCAGGCTTAGGAATAAGGGGGAAAAGTGGGGGAGTGCATAGGCCAAGGCAGTGAACCAAGATTTTGTCTAAGGCACTAGAAAGGCTATTAAGTTGGTAAGGCCTTCAACCGTCTCCAATTTGGAGAAGTAAGATTTAACCATAAAATCAATTAGCAAATGTAAATAACAAAAGCAGTGAAAAGAATAATAAAAAAACCATAAACAATAAACACAATTCACATTATTATACCTCACAGGAAGAGAGTTTTTTTTCACAGATTGAACCTAGGAGTGAACAGTTCAGGTCTCTGCTTGGGTGGATGTTGTGGCATTGGCTGAGCATGGGGCAAACTCCAAAATCCTGGGGTCCCCCATCTGTATAGGACTTCTCCAGTGCATAAGTATTGCAGGAGGGGTTTCAATATCCTGTGCCATGTGAGAGTTCCTTGTGAGCTCCAGGAAGAATTGTAGTGTAGTGACTTCAAAGTGGATCAGGATTTTGTCCCATACTGCGGCCAGAAGTAGAGCCTTGTCCTGGAGTGACTGGAACCGGATAATGAGGTTGAAAGGTTGATGAGGAAATACCGGTTTCGGTATGCAAAACATGCCACCCAGTTTCACTGGTTTGACTTGCTTAGGTTGTTACATTGCTGCTAATAGCCATCAAATAAAGTGCAGTTGATCAGCAAGGCCCAGAGCCTCTGGTATGTGTCTAACCTTCACATTATAGCATCTCTGCATTTCTTTCATAGCCTCTACTCTTTTGATGGAAAGGAGCTGTTGCTTTTGGAGTTCCTCCAGCAGGGCCGGACTGGGAAAAAGATTCGGCCCGGGCATTTTTTTATCACAGCGGCCCACTAAGAAGGGGGCGGGGCAGAGAGGGTGTGTTTTGTCATCACTCATGACAAACACGCCCCCTCTCAAAGTGAGCATGTTGGTTCAATGCTCTTCCAGGGCAGACCATGCACAGAGCTCTGCTGAAGAGCTCTAGCATGAGAAAAAAAGCCCTGTATTTGTTCTGCACAGTGCAAGCAAATTTAATAACATGCTTGCACTGTGTTTCCTTGCAACTTGTCTCTGGTATCTCTATAAATGGATACCAGGAGACAAAAGGGCCAGGAAAGAGTATTGTGCATGTGTTTGGAGCCTGCTTGGGGTATTGCGTGTGTGCAGAGTGAGCTGGTCGTGGTTTGGTATTGTGTAATAAGGTCGGTTTTAGTCGTGTTGTGTTTGTGGTGTAATGTAATGCATATGTGGCTAGGGGCTTTAGAGAATGTGTGTTTAGGGGATGTAGCAAGTGTATGTATACAGGCTATAGTGTGTGTGTGTGTGTGTGTGTGTGTGTGTGTAGGTGATGTAGTGTTTGTAGAGAGTGTGTGTTCAGGGAATGTAGTATGTGTTTGCTTACAAGGAATCTAGTGTGCGTATAGGGGATCCAGAGTGTGTGTGTGTTTGAAGGACCCAGAATATGTATAGGAGATCTAGTGAGCGTGCATATATAATGGATTCAGAGTGTATATAGGGATCTAGTGTGTATATTGTGTATGTGTGTGATGCAGTGTATCGGGGGGTTGTGTGTGTATGTGAGGGGTGCAGTATGTGTGTGTGATGGATCCTGTGTGTGAGGTGTGGGTGCTGTGTGAGGGTGTTGTGTGTGTGAGGGTGCTGTATGTGTGGGTGCTGTATGTGATTGATTTGTGTGAGGGTGCTGTGTGTGTGGGTGTGAGAGTGTTGTGAGTGCTGAGTGTTATGTCTTTGAGAGTGATGTGTGAGAGTGCTGTGTGTGATAGTGCTGTGTATGTGTGAGAGTGCTGTGTTTGTTGTGTGTGAGTGCTGTGTTTGTTGTGTGTGAGAGTGCTGTGTGTGTTATGTGTGTGAGTGCAGAGTGTGATGTGTGATGTGTGTGAGTGCAGAGTGTGATGTGTGTGAGTGCAGAGTGTGATGTGTGTGAGAGTGCTGTGTATGATGTGTGTGAGAGTGCTGTGTATGATGTGTGTGAGAGTGCAGAGTGTGATGTGTGTGAGAATGCTGTGTGTGAGAGTGCTGTGTATGATGTGTGTGAGAGTGCTGAGTGTGAGAGTGCTGTGTATGATGCATGTGAGAGTGCTGAGTGTGAGAGTGCTGTGTATGATGTGTGTGAGAGTGCTGTGTATGATGTGTGTGAGAGTGCTGAGTGTGATGTGTGAGAGTGCTGTGTATGATGTGTGTGAGAGTGCTGAGTGTGAGAGTGCTGTGTATGATGTGTGTGAGAGTGCTGTGTATGATGTGTGTGAGAGTTCAGAGTGTGAGAGTGCTGTGTATGATGTGTGTGAGAGTGCTGTGTATGATGTGTGTGAGAGTGCTGAGTGTGCTGAGTGCTGAGTGGGAGAGTGCTGTGTATGATGTGTGTGAGAGTTCAGAGTGTGAGAGTGCTGTGTATGATGTGTGTGAGAGTGCTGTGTATGATGTGTGTGAGAGTGTTGAGTGGGAGAGTGCTGAGTGGGAGAGTGCAGAGTGTGATGTGTGTGAGAGTGCAGAGTGTGATGTGTGTGTGAGAGTGCTGAGTGTGATGTGTGAGAGTGCAGAGTGTGATGTGTGAGAGTGCTGTGTATAAATGTGTGTGTGTGTGTGTGGGGGGGGTAAACAAACAAATAAAAAACTATGGTGGATAAATAAAGAAAAAAAAACAAAAAACTAAGTAGGCATTAAATCCCCCCCCCTCCCTCTTACCTTTAGCCTGGGAGGGGGGACAGGCACGTGGTAGCTGGGAGGAGGGGGACCGGCACGGTGACATCATCCCTGGTGGTCCAGTGGTGAGTGAACTCTAGCCTGAGGGCTAGAGTTCACTCTCGCGAGATCGGCACGTTGCCATGGCAACGCGCCGGATCTCGTGAGAGGAACCCGGCGGAGCTATAAGATAGAACTCCGCAGGGTCCTCTCCCTCCCTCCCCAGCCGCAGGTCTGTTTAAATGGGCCGGTGAGGGAGATCTTTGATCTCCCCACCGGCCCTCCATGGCAAACAGCGGGGCCGGCGCTCGGATAGTGCCGGCCCTGCATAGACCGGCAGGGGAGATCCTGGGACCTCCCCTGCCGGCCTCGGCCCATGGCCACCGCGGCCCACCGGGCATTTGCCCGGTGTGCCCTATGGCCAGTCCGGGCCTGTCCTCCAGTTTTTGCTTCACAGTGGTTAACCTGCAGTAGTGGTGGCTTTCAGCTGGGTAAGTGTTGTGTTTGTTCCATCGAGTGAGGCCGAAAGCTAGCTATATCGGAGCTGAAGTTCAGCCAGCATAGATTTCAGGAGGGCTGCAGTGACCGGATCCCTGTCTCCTGAAGCTGTGGCTGCAGCAAATGGTACCATACTCATTGATGCCCCACACCTGGATCAAAGGAAAGATCTTCAGAGGAGAAGGAGGACCCTTCATCTCCCAGCACTATATTGGTCCATGCTGTCTGTTGAGCACCACAGAGAAGATCCTCAATGTGTTGGCTATTAAGCACTTTACCTTCTTTTCCATTTTAGATTTGCAATCCATGTTACCCTGCTGGTATTTCAGCCTTATATTTGCCAAGATTCCACCTGAAAGCTACTTTATTTAGGTATCAAGATTTCAAATGGGTGTGATTGTTCTAGTCTTCAGTTGGCTCCACCCACTTTCTTTTAACTTTTTACATACAATGCTTGCTTGTACATACTACACTATGGGAGTATGTATGCATAATAATTACAAAAAATGAGGATGTACATTTGAAATAGCAAAAATCTGAATTGAGAACATATATTTTGAGTGTTTTAAAATGCTCCCCATCTTGTGAGTTGATTACATACACATTGTAGATAGCAGCTATATTTATTTTCAAATTACACTATTTTTATGCAGTTTTGTATTTCTTTTTTATAGAGTTACTCCTACTTTTTTTACATTCTTTATTTTTGTATTGACAAAATTATACAGCTTGTTATCACACTCACACAATAAAGAAAAACAATAAAAAGTCTGGGTGTTGCAACATCCGAGTTGCTCAAAATTGTTTACAATAATTGAAAAATAAAACAGTGATACATCATATCAAGTAGAGAGTAATCCAAGCATTGACATTTACATATTTTAAGTTATGCAGACATCACTAATGGTTTTAACAAAACTTAAAAACGATGTAATAAAGAAAAATTAAAAAGCATGTGCTTCATGCTAATGAGGCAAGATCAGATAGTATCATAAAGTGATAAGCAACCTAGGTAAAGTATGAACTCCACCCTTTTTTGTAAGCGTATCTCATAGATAAAGATAGTGGAAGTATATTAAAAAAGAGCAACAGAGAGAAATAGAGATGGGTCCTCATATAGAAGTTGTACCAAAGAGCAATGGGATATTCAATTGTTGAGGTGGGCAGTGGACTATGTGGTGCCAAAAATGATGTTTGCTTGCAAGACAAAGTCTAGGGATCCGTGTTTGGAAAGGTGGGAATGGTGAGAATGTTAGCCGAAGTGGGGGAGCAATAAGCAATCCCCTCCCAAACTCTAATCATTCAAATCACTAGTTAGCTACAGTTCCCAAACTCTTTTAAATGTCCTAGAAGTTCCCCTGACTTGTGCTATATGTTTTTCCATAAGGCAGGTATCTTTAATTTTGTATTACAAGGTTGATGGAAGGAGTTTCTGGTTTCAGGCATGTTTCTGGCAGCTAAAAGTCAATTTATGTTCTGGTTTCGTCCAGTCGTTTTTTTTGGCCTAGACAGTAAAAAGACTCAAGCGTCAATCTTAATGTTCTGCTGGAGCACCTGGGCTTAAAAGTCTCCCACCCCTCTACAAAAGGTATCTTCAACTGTGCAGCCTCACCACATGTGGAAATATGTATCATTATGTCCACATCTCCACCAGCAAAGGTCATCTGGAGTTTTCTGCGTGTTGTACAGCTGGACCGGCATTGTGTACCAGAGAAACATGGTCTTGTACAGAACTGTTCCTGTATTGAGTTGCAAATCGAGGTGGTTTTGTCAGCCTCCCATATGTCCTGCCATTCAGATCCTTCTAAGGTCTCCCCTAAGTCCGCCTTCCACTGCCCAGTATAAGCGAATCTGCCCCACTCTGTCATATTAGCGGTGTAGTGCACACAAAATGATGTTATTAGGCCTCTGTAAACTGATTCGTTAAAACACATGCCTACTTTTCTTAACTTATATTACATCTTTCCTAGTGTATTTAAGGTGACAAGTTGTATGTCTAACTTTTGTTTGAACATTGAAACTAGGTACCAAATATAATGTATTGCTTAGTTGGTGGGCAGGAAGGCAGGAACAGTGGTATTTTAATTTAATAGTATAATATGACCAATTTGTCACTGAATATGGCATGAATAGAACAGGGGAATGTACACAGAAAACCCTTAGTTAGGGAAGCATGTAAGACAAGAGTCTTGTATAACATTTCATTTAATATAATAAGTATTAAAACATTAATATTTGGGATATATGACCAAGAACATTTATTTACATAGTTTTGATCATTTTCATCCTAAACCTAAAGCTTTAGGTTGTGGGAGATGGAGTCCATGCCTGGCACATTAAACTTATTACTGCCCTGCATATGGTATAAGTGAAGAAAACCTCTGGTTTATGGACTTAGTTTGACTGTTTTGTCCCCCCCCCTTAGAACACCAGTTTAAACCCTTAATAACTGTCATATTTTCAAACTCTGTCTGACCCTTTTTACTGTCAGTTTGTTTTCCTCAGAGCAGGAGTTTTTTTTACTGCATGAATACTGTTCAAGTGCAACACCCTGAAAGACCTATTGCAGGTTCAAGGGGCAGCGGCAGCAATAAGACCAAGTGCTGTATTGTAAGCGAACTAATGGAGCTGGACAGGGAAAGCGTGGCTGCGGCAACTCCGGCTGTTCGTGCAGAAGAAAGTGAAGTGGACCGAGAAATGAGGGAGCGGCTGGCGCTGTTGGGGCTAAACCCTGCACCAGAAATCATCCTTCGCATAATTGACAGTGTGAATGAAAATGCGAATAAGCGACGGGAATTACAAATCCGCTTAGTGGAGGCGCAGAGAACTACAGCGGTCGCACCGAGCAGTTCCAGCTTTAACCCCGAACCATGGAAAATTCCCTTCAGTGCATTCAAAGCATTGGGAGGGAGCCACAGAGTCAGCAGGGACCCCTGTGTGGTGCCATATGTGCTGGAACTGAGGGACCGTATGGAGGCGTTGACCCAGATGGTGCATGAAAACCTCCAGTCGGCTCAGCAGCGCCAGCGGGTATGGTACGACCAGAAGGCCAGGCACCGTAGTTTTCAGGTAGAACAGCGAGTTATGATACTTAAGCCAGTCCGACGGGACAAACTACAGGCTGCCTGGCAGGGACCCTACAAAATTATTGAGAAAGTATGTGACACTACGTACACGGTAGCCAGCTGTGATGATGAGAATGTAAAGCGCACATTCCACATCAACATGCTGAAGGAATACATGGGTAGAGAAAAGGAGGTGGCAGCCGTGTGTGTGCCACCATCCGAGGATCTAGACACCCTACCCCTACCGGATCTATTGGAGGGCG